CTCTGCTCCTGATGAGTAGGGGGATAGCTGGGAGGAAACCTGCTGAAGGTGGTGACAGAATGAGAGGCAGCCTTAATGAGAGAACAAGCAGAGCAAAGAGAGGCTGGAGCAGTGTCATGAAGAGATGACAGGAAGAGAAAACATGAAGATGAAAGGCTTGCTGTGTCTAATCCAGCTCTTATTGGAGTCCAAGTGTAGTGGTCTGCTATGGGAGTCGTTTTCTGTTTACTTTGACCCATATGGAGTACCATATGGTGACAGGTATGGTAAAAAAAATGTTATATCATTTAGAAACCTTCAGATTATTAATGGTCCTTGATGAATTCTTCATCATTGTTATATGTAGAAACATCTAGTAGTATGTATGATTTTATTTATGTATTAATGAGGGTTTTGTTCAAAGCAAAAAAAAAATCATACTGTATAAATCCACATTCATTCAACCTTTATTTACACAGGTTAGTCTCACATGAACAAAATATACCAATTTAAATAAAATGTGTGAAAAAAATATAACTTTAATTAATTTTTTACTTAAAAACGTTTACCTTTAGTCTATTTGGTTTGACTTTTGAATATTTTTGTCACTAAAATTAAGCACTTTGATAACATGTTCTGTTTTAAATGTGCTCTGTAAATAAAGTTGACTTGACTTGACTAAAGTCACACAGAGCTACATCCTACATGTTTAGTTGATGTTCAGGAGCTGAGATTGATGCCCTCACAGTGGATGCACATGCTTTTATAGTCTATCAACATTTTATCTAAAATCCTGTCGGCGTGCTGTGCTAAACTACTTTTGTTCTAGTTAGTCATACAGCAAATGTAAACTTTTTGAACACAAAATTATTGTAATCAAAGTACTGTCTTAAAAAAATAATTAACCCAACAAACTGAGACATCATCAATTATTATTATTATTTTTTTTATGTGAATAGGTGGGATGGGTATTTGCCAAAAGTTCCACTATGTACCGATACATTCATTGTGTCATCTCCATCCATCCATCCATCCATTATCTCTTACCTGTTTCTTCCTTTTCACATGGGTCACTGGTGCCCATGTTCAGCAGTCACTGTACGAGAGGCAAGGGACACCCTGGACACGTCTCCAGCCCATCACAGAGACACATAGAGACAAATTAGACAAACAACCATTCACTCTCTCACTCACACCTAGAGACAATTTAGAGTTACCAGTCAACCTAACATGCATATTTTTAGTCTGTGGGAGGAAACTAGAGTACCCGGGGAAAAACCCATGCATGCACGGAGAGAACATGTAAACTCCACCCAGAAAGGCTCCCGACCGGAATTCAATTTGGTAACCTTCATGCTGAAAGGTGGCATCTCTACCACTCAGCCACTGTGCCACCTGTGTCATCTACGTATCACAGGCTTTATGTCTTCTAAGAAAAATACAAATTATCTGAAAATAACATCTTAAAACAGCAAACTCCACTTCAGAATGATTGTCAATAGTGTGTTTAAATATTTATACACATTTTTTAAATTAACACATTTGAGTTTCTTTATCATTATTATTTACTATCTTTATAGTGCCCATGCATGGAGCCTTCTGACAACAACATATAACAAAGAAACAAGACACTCACAAAGCATAGGGTTGGGGCATAATGGAAATCACTATTATTGTTTGTTTTTGCCACATTTACAAAAATGTAATTAAAGTGCTAAGTCAACCTGAGACACTGCCTCCCCATCGAGGTGTTAGTTCTGAAAGGACTGAGATAGTGACTTGTACTTTTTATGGTGGCACCACAACCATAGATATTTGAAAAGTGTATAATGGGAAACATCCAACACACTCTTTGATTTCTACAGTTCTATGATGCTTCATCTATTAAAGCTCACAGTCAGCAAACAGGATGACTTGGTGCTTTAATACCAACCTGAGGCAGAGGGGCTTGTATTTGCAACCATATCTCGAACCATATCAATTTATGTGTGTGTGTGGGTGGGTGGGGGGGGGGTCTCATAGAGTCCATCTCTTCAGAGATCATGACTCCTTCCTAACACAGATCATGAAATTAAATTTAGGTGGTTTGCCCAAAGAGTAAGAGTCAAAGGATTTCTCTCAAACATGGCCGTCTAAAGAAAAGCAGAAGGGATCTGTAAAAGAGGGTGTCCCCCTCGTTATTGGGAAAATGACATTGGTACTTGCACAGAACTCCCTTTACATGACCACATTCAGCTTGCTGAGGATTGGCCAAAGTGGAGGTTGCTGGTGGTGAATAACATTTGGCCTGCCCACTTAATAATATGATATGGGACTGATGATGATCACTAATGAAAAACAATGTAAAGGATACTGTTGAACAAATAGTTTACCGGTCTTTTATAAGAAAGTCTATATTATAAAGTATTATAAAGCCTATAGAGCCATATAGAGTATTTAAAGAGCCTACATGCACATGGACAGGGCAGGCAGCAGTGTAAGAGTCATGTTCATTGACTTTTCCAGTGCATTTAACACCATAAGACCTGCTCTACTCTGCAGTAAGCTCCTAGACATGCAGGTGAATGACTCGCTGGTCACCTGGATCAGAGACTACCTCACAGGTTGGCCACAGACACCATACTGAGCAGCACAGGGGCTCCTCAGGGGGCGGTCCTCTCATCCTTTCTGTTCACCTTCTACACCTCGAACTTCAGGTACAATTCACAATCCTGCCATCTGCAGAAGTTCTGGATGACTCTGCCATTGTGGGCTGCAACCCTGGTGACCAGGAAGCTGAATACAGAGGTGTGGTGGACAGAACCACCTGCAACTCAACGGTGGAAAAACTAAAGAGCTGCAGGTGGACTACAGAAAGAAGATCAGCCCCCACCCCCACCCCCACCCCCCACCCTATCAACATCAAGGGTACTAAGGTGGACACTGTGGACTGCTACAAGTACCTGGGGGTCCACCTAGACAATAAAATGGACTGGACAGCTAACACCAACACTCTCTACAAGAAAGGACAGAGTCACCTTTTTCTTCTGAGGAAACTCAGGTCCTTTAACATCTGCAGGACCATGCTGCAGATGTTTTACCACTCGGTGGCCTCCAGCATCATCTTCTACACTGTGGTGTGCTGGAGCAGCAGGCTGAAGAAAGCTGATGCCAACAGACTCGATAAACTCATCAAGAGAGCTGGCTCAGTTCTGGAAGTGGACCTGCAGTCTCTGACAGAGGTGTCTGAGCAGAGGATGCTGAGGAAACTGCTCCAGATCCTGAACATGTCACACCCCCTGCATGACACCCTGGACTCTTACTGCAGCACCTTCAGTCGTAGACTGAGACCACGAGGTGCTCCACAGAACAACACAGGAAGTCCTTCCTCACTGTGGCTATCAACTTATAAACTCCTCCCCCTTTCTACACAGAGGACAATAAAATTAATCCTGCACCACAATAAACACTTTAATGTTTCTGTCTGCACCTGTTTCGAACATAATTGTTGGTATTTTATATTCTCTGTTATTTTTTATATCTTTTGTGATTCGTTGTGTATGTTCCTTTGTACTGAAACTCTGGCACAACAATTTCCTGCAGGATCAATAAAGTTTTATCTTATCTTATCTTATCTTATAAGTACATAGTCTGTAAAGGTTGCCTTAACTACTAAAATTGATCAACAAAGTGCCAACAGAGTGCTGTTCATGAAATAGTTTTGTTTTTGTTAGCTTAAATTATTACGTTTTTTCCCACTGAAGCATTCAAAGGAATGTAAAATCCTGATCATGTATGAATCATGCATCACAAGGTTGCACAATTCATAAAAGATTAAAAGATGCTACAGCTCTGAGCTAAAAAAAAAAACAAAACAACAACAAACTAGTGAGTCATGAAATGATTCATGAGATGTGGATTTAAATTTGTGACTCAGGCTCCATTTTATGCTCTAGACATTTCTTCTGCATTATTGATACTTTTCAGGAAACAGATCTTCAAATTGCTCTGTGATTGTAGGAAACTGTCTGAATCAAATTAGCATGCTGCTGATTTGTCTCATTTAATTAGACCTCTGAAAATGTTGCAGACAAATGTGGTCAAAGGCTTTAGAATAAAAAAAGTGGAGGCTGGATGTCAAAGGGAGTCAATAACTATGGCACAGTCGGTTAGCACAAAGAGAAGAAATGTAAGCGGGAAATCAAGCTGCAAGTAAAATTCCTCAATTGTCTGACATCCACCTCCCACTGGGTCACACTCTGGGATGTATGCACTGTCACTCGAGAACAACTGCCAAACACAACTCAACACTGCCATACCACACCACAGCAATAATCTGCTCCCCCCTAACCCAAACCAAAGCAAAGTGCACCATCAAAGCTTAGGCTGTTGCACCAATTAGCATTTAAAGGTCCATTTATGGTCAGTTTGCATTACATCCTACATCTATTCCCAATGGATTTGATGTCCCTGTACATTTACATTCCTTTATTAGGAAGACACTTAACTCCTATACATCTTGTGACTTAAGCTCACCTGACATATTGCCCTGACAGCGCTTCAGAAGAAATAAACTAGAAAGTACCAGTGTCTTGTCATCACAGACAGGCTTGGTGTTAAACAAGATGTACTGTATTAATCAGAAAGAAGAGGAGTGAAAGAACCAAGAAGAAATGACAAGTTCAGGACTATGAGGGAAAACAATGTGAACAAATAATGTGAAGGAATGGGAGTGAGAATAAGAGGGTTTGGGTCTTGGTACGAGTTGAGGTGTCTGACCAGGTAAACGACCTTTGTTAATTAGTTCTATGAAACAGCCATGTTGATTTATTTTCCAAACCATTAAGTGCAGCTGTACACTGCAAGACACAATCATCGCTTTCTTGGATTCCATCACATTGCTGTTGTTTGTATTCAAAACTTCTAGAGGTCATGTTTCTAATAAGAAACACATTCCACCATTCCTGCTTGAATGATTTAATGAAAAGCCAAGCTGTTCTGTTTCGTTCACTTCATCTCACAGTTTGTTTCTGTGCCTGCAGGTGCTACGTTGATGACAAAATTTCCAAGGTGGCCTGGCTCAATCGATCAAACATCATCTTTGCAGGCCAGGAAAAGTGGTCCCTGGACCCCAGAGTAGACCTGATTACAAAAGGGCAGCTGGAGTACAGCTTACGCATACAAAAGGTACATATTACCATCATGGTCATAACTCAAAATGAACAGTTGCCCTTTTGGTTGTGATCCATCTGTTGAGATAAAGAGGTGGCTTTACTTAAAAAGATGACAAAACAACATTTGTGTATGCCTAAAGATTGGGCTTTTTTAGAAACCATAAAACTAATTTGTGTGTATGTGCTCAGTTGTTTGTATCATTAGTAAAATATCTCAGGAATCACTGGACAGATAATTGGAATCAAACAATTTGTCAACTTTTGGAGTTAACCCAATGGTCACTTTCTAAAGTTTCATATAAATCTGTTTTGTGATTCATGTGATATTTTGCCAACATTTACACACACACAAAATATTGGGTTGAGATATACAACTCATTTTAAGATGGCCACCACAGCAAAACATTATAAGCAAACCCAAAAAAGGTTATACCTCAGGAAATGTGTAGTAATTGAGCTCAAATTTGGGGTGGTAGTAGCAGAACATCATTCACAACACATACTCCAAGTGCAAATAGTCCATTAATGTTGGGCTTTTAATTGTTTGGTTTTGCAGCAGTTCAAGCACAACTATTATTTTGTGTGTATCACTTTGTGTTAGCATTGCCAGTAGTAAGTCAGACCCCTTCAGGGTGGGAGTTGGACTCCACCAGGACTGCACTTTGTCAACAATTCTGTTCATAACGTTTATGGACATAATTTCTTGGTGCAGCCATGGGGCGGAGGGAGTTCGGTTTGGTGGCCTCAGGATTCCTTCTCTTTTATTTGCGGATGATGTGGTTCTGTTGGCATCATTGTGTTGTGATCTCCAGCTCTCACTGGAGCGGTTCACAGCCGAGTGTGAATTGTCTGGCTCCAGCTCCAAATCTGAGGCCATGGTCCTCAGTCGGACAAAGGTGGTTTGTTCTCTTTGGGTTGAGGGTGAGGTTCTGCCTCAAGTGGAGGAGTTCAAGTATCTCGAGGTTTCGTTCACAAGTGAGGGAAGAGTGGAGCGTGAGATTGACAGACGGATTGGTGCAGCATCTGCAATATTGTGGACTCTGTATCTGTCCATTGTGGTGAAGAGGGAACTGAGCTGTAAGGCAAAGCTCTCTGTTTACATGACGGTCTATGTTCCTACCCTCACCTATAGTCATGAGCTCTGGGTAGTGACCGAAAGAATGAGATCACAGATACACATGGTTGAAATGAGTTTTCTGCATAGGGTAGCTGGACTCTCCCTTAGTGATAGGGTGAGAAGTTCAGTTATCCGGAAGAGACTTGGAGTAGAACCGCTGCTCCTCCACATCGAAAGGAGCCAGTTGAGGTTGTTCGAGCATCTGGTAAGGATGCTTCCTGGGTGTCTCCCTAGAGAAGTGCTTCAAGCATGTTCAACAGGGAGGAGACCCCGGGGAAGACCCAGGGCACACTGGAAAGACTTCTTGGTTGGCGTTAGAATGTCTTGGAATCTTCCCACAAGAGCTGGAAGAGGTGGCTGTGGAAAGAGATGTCTGGACCTCCCTGCTCAAGCTGCTGCCCTTGGGACCTGACTTTGGAATAAGCGGGAGATAATGGCTGGCTGGCTGGCTGGCTGGATGGATGGACGGACGGACGGATGGATGGATGGACGGATGGATGGATGGATGGATGGATGGATGGATGGATGGATGGATGGATGGATGGATGGATGGATGGATGGATGGATGGATGGATTTTGTGCAATCTCCCCAAATATTATAAATTTGTTATTCCAGATAAAAAAAAATACAATTTACATTTAATTAGTTTAAAATTAATTTAAAGTGTTCCTTGTTTAATTTATAAAAAAATAATAATAAAATTGAAAATGTTTCCGAGGAGTTCTGAAAAAAGTAGATTTACTTATTGGTAAATATGTGGGAAAGAGCCAGTTAAGATATCCTGGTGAATAAAGTCTAAAAACTGAGCAAGAGTTGGACAAATGTGGGTCTCCTTATACTGTATGGAACTTAGAACAGGGTAACTCAATACACAGAGTAAGGAGGTTAAAAAAAACAAATGGCAGTGGTCAATCAAAATGAAGAAAATCTCTGGGTTTTGTACCCTGGGACTCATTTGTATATAGACAAAAGAACAAAAAGCTTCTGCAAATGTCTGTAAAGTAAACTGGAGGGTGGTGTGAAAACAGTTCAACACACCATGGGTTTCTTTAAGTTTTCTGCCTTGAAAAAAACTGGGAATTCTCTCAAACAGAACCAAAACCACAAAAGTGATCAATTTAGTTTTCTATCCAGGTTATTTCTTTACATTCTCTGGGTACTTTAGTAAATGCAGGAGATATTTCATTACTGGACTGGATTACTTCAACATAAAATGAACAAACTATAATTATATGGCAAATTTATATATTTGGACAAAACCAAACTGGATATCATCACGGTCGAAGCTGTATGCAGGCAAACATGGCGAGGCCGGGTAAAATAAGAATTGTTTTATTTAATAAATGGCAGCAGCTACTTTAAATACACTTGTAAAAAAAATGGAGGGCCAAGCCATCTGGCTGAGAGCCAAGATAATGAATGAATGTAGGAGTGGTGAGCAAGGATGGTTTAAACAGGACGGGGTGAGTGCAACGTGGCAGCACCTGGGTGATTATTAATTAGAAATGAATGGTAAGGAAACACAGGGAACTGAAACAAAACACAAGGGAAATAAAAGTAAGAAACTGACAGACTATGACAGAAATCACAGAGGTTAGAGGAGGTGGGCCTGTGATCAGAAATCGCCGGTTCACTCCCCGGTACCAACAACATCAAAAATGTGGGTGGGGTAGGTGAAGTACCCACACTTGCCCCCACCCTCATTCATCCCACTCTGGACCCATGAGCAAGGCCCTTAACCCCACCATCTGCTCCCTAAACAGGTCTCTCTTGGAAATGAGTCCTCGTGGCTCAATGAGACTACCTGGATAAATAAAGGGTAAATGGAAGAAAAAAAAGTGTATAGCTTTGGCTTGACCTTAACAGACCTAGCGCCACCCAGTGGTTAAAGCAGATCTTGTCTAATTTGCCACCGGAAAGAATACTGTATATTAGGAAATCCAAATAACATATTTTTTAGATAATTTGGAGTCCTTTTATTAACTTTATGAAGGACTCAGACTTATCAGAGGGCTTATTGGACTCCTGATTAGCTGGAACCTGTGGTGTAACATGCTGAGTAGACATGTATAGTTGTATTAAGTCAGTTTGTAATGCTCAATTACCCCTGTTGTTTTTGAAAAGCTTTTTTGGGGGGTGGGGGTGGGGGTGGGGGTGGGGGGTGGTTATTAAACTTTTTATTTTGTTTTTAGTTTCTTCAATTTGGATTAGTTGAAGCCCTAAAATAGGGCTTACAGTTTTATGTTACTGTCCTGAAGAAATAAAAAAAGAAGCTTATTCAGATTGGTACATAATTGTATTTTCAAAGTGAAAAATCTCAAAAACTATATATTTTGTTAAAAAAAAAAAATATATATATATATATAAAAGTAGTGTTATAAAACAAAATCAAGTCAAGGTGTCTTATAAAACAAGGTAAAATATAAAAAAAAAACTAAAACCAAGAACATTTGCTTTGATTTTTCTATTGAACGTGACACTTGTTTAAAATCCCATAAAGAAACCAAAGTGGACAGCTTCAGTTCTTGTTGCAAGGTATTCACCCAGGGCATCAAACAGAGACCACCCTGATTAAATCTCATTCCACAAGTTCGGGTTCAAGTATATGTGGATTGTATATACAGTAGTCGTTGAGTTTATAGAACAAAATGAAAAAGGTCAAAATACCTTTTGTTAAACTGATAAGGAAAAATGTTAACCTTTGTGTATTTGTTGAACATAATCAAGTGTTTATATTCTAATGCAAATGCAATATAAATTGATCAATATTAAACTATTTTTTTTTTCTGCTCAGGTGGATGTGTTCGATGAAGGCTCTTACACCTGCTCCATACAAACTAAGCAGCAGCCCAAGACCTCTCAGGTTTATCTCATTGTGCAAGGTAAGCTAAAATCAGCTGTTTAAAACAGTGTTTACCAACATGTGGGGGTGGGGGGGTGGGGGGGATGCTGTTGATGTCAAGGGTGGGGTGCCAGACGTTAGCAAATCAGGGGTTATTAAAAAGTTATGCTGGTATACTAATATGATCATTCTGCCCTTTTTGAGCAAGTTATTTATTTATTTTTTACAATGGATGCAGGCCAGTAAAATCTGCATGTGGTCGGCATTAACTGCTAATTTCATAACCCTCCTACAAATGTTTACATTTATTTTAAATACATTTATTATACTTTGTGCAAAAATCTCATTAAACCATTTTTAACAGCAGCATAAAAACTATGCAGCTTAAAACATGTCCATTATGGAATTTGCCACACTATATAATTATGCAAAAACAAAATTACATCATCATTTTAGAAAAAAGAAATAAATGAAAAGTTGTGTTATTTTATATAAACACCTAAACTACTGACTAAAACAAAATTGTAGTTTTGCAATTGTTTACAACAAATTATCTGTTGCTAATGAAATATTTATGAGTAATGCAGTTAATATGGAATAAATATTAATGTGTTAAGGTGCATGTTTATTATATCAGTGATGCTTCCAAGAAGCAGAACAGCTTCTATCTTGTCTGAAAGTCACATATTGATTTGGAATCCATTTCATCAAACAAACAAATCCATCCATCCATTTTCTTCTGCTTATCCGGGGTTGGGTCGCGGGGGTGGCAGCTTAAGTAGGGAGGCCCAGACTTCCCTCTCCCCAGCCACTTGGGCCAGCTCCTCTGAGGGAATTTCAAGGCGTTCCCAGGCCAGCCGCGAAGCATAGTCCCTCCAGCGTGTCCTGGGTCTTCCTCTGGGTCTCCTCCCAGTGGGATGTGTCTGGAACACCTCACCAGGAATCGCCCAGGAGGCATCCTAACCAGATGCCCGAGCCATCTCAACTGGCTCTTCTGGACATGGAAAAGCAGCGGCTCTACTCTGAGTCCCTCCCGGATGACCGAGCTTCTCGCCCCATCTCTAAGGGAGAGTCCAGACTCTGTGGAGAAAACTCATTTCGGCCGCTTGTATTCGTGATCTCATTCTTTCGGTCACAACCCAAACCTCATGACCATAGATGAGGGTAGGAACATAGATTGACTGGTAAATTGAGAGCTTCGCCTTTTGACTCAGCTCTCTCTCTTCACCTCGACAGACCGGTACAGTGCCCGCTTCACTGCAGATGTCATGCCTATCGATTTCTTGCTCCATTTTCCCCTCATTTGTGAACAAGACCCCAAGATACTTGAACTTCTCCACTTGAAACAGGACCTCCGACCCAGAGAGGGCACTCTACCCTTTTCCGGCTCAAGACCATGGCCTCGGATTTGGAGGAACTGATCCTCATCCCAGCTGCGTTACACTCGGCTGTGAACTGCCCCAGTGAAAGTTGTAGATCGCGACCTGATGAAGCCAATAGGACCACATCATCTGTAAAAAACAGAGAAGTGATCCTAAGGCCACCAAAACGGATCCCCTCAACACCTAGAACAACTAGAAGTTCTGTCCATAAAAGTTATGAACAGAATTGGTGACAAAGGGCAACCTTGGCGGAGTCCAACTCTTACCGGGAATGAGTTCAACTTACTGCCGGCAATGCGGACCAGGCTCTGACACCAGTCGTACAGGGACCTAACAGTCCGTATCAAAGGGCCTGGTACCCCATACTCCCAGAGTACCCCCCACAGGGTTCCCCAAGGAAAGTGGTTGAAGGCCTTCTCCAAGTCCACAAAGCACATGTAGACTGGTTGGGCAACCTCCCATGTACCCTCCAGGACCCTACTGAGGGTGTAGATCTGGTCCAGTGTTCCACAACTAGGACGAAAACTGCACTGCTCCTCCTGAATCCAAGGTTCAACTATCCGATGGGCCCTCTTTTCTAGAACCCCTGAATAGACCTTTTCAAGGAGGCTTAAGAGTGTGATCCCCTGTAGTTGGAACACACTCTACTCTATGGTCCTCCTTTTTGAATAAGGGGACCACCACCCCGGTCTGCCAATCCAGGGGAACTTCCCCCGATGTCCACGCAATATTGCAGATTTGTGTAAGCCAACATAACCCCACAACATCCAGAGCCTTAAGGAACTCCAGGCGAATCTCATGCACCCCTGGGGCCCTGCCACCTAGGAGCTTTTCAACCACCTTAACGATCTCAGCACCAGAGACTGGAGAGCCTGACCCAAAGTCCTCAGGCTCCGCTTCCTCAATGGAAGACGTGCTCGTGGGATTGAGGAGGTCTTTGAAGTAGTCTGCCCACTGACTAAACACTGTTGGTGGTGTACCGCTCTTACCCCACCCCACCCCCCGAGATGCCAGATGGTGGACCAGAATTGCCTCAAAGCCGTACAGAAGTAATTCGCCATGATATCTCCAAACTCCTCCCATGCCCGAGTTTTTGCATCAGTGACCACCCAAGCCGCATGCCACTTGGACTGCTGGTACCCATCAGCTGCTGGGGTCCCACTAGCCAAAAAGGCCCAATAGAACTCCTTCTTTAGCCTGACAGCATCCCTCAATGCCGGTGTCCACCACCGAGGTCGAGGGTTGCCGCATCCAAAATCAATACTAAAATGTAAATGTAAATCTGTTGTTATTTCTATAGCTAAGTTATGTTGGTTTACCATTGTGGAGTGTAGTGGCCGCAGTGGCAACCCATTGTTTGCAATGACTTGACCTGGGCATCAACAACTCAAAGTCTGACTGACTTTATGCTTTGGCTACCATCCATCACAACCCCAAGAATAAATCATGCAACATTTTAACCATTTATATTGTTTATTCTGGGCTCTTCATGCACTGGTAAATATCCCGCTCCGCTCACCCTCTTTTATTTGCCTTTTGGTTGCAACACAAGAAACACAACTCAGGAGCTGGATGACTGAGAATCTAAGCCACTATGCTGTTATCAATATTATTGCAAACTAGTGAATATTCAGATATGTATTTTTACTACCAGTTAATGTATGAAAGTTACATTTTGGGCAACCACAATATGAAATTAGGACTTAAAAATCTGCTGAATTTTCATGGTGTTTTTTCCTTCTTACAAATCAGACAGCCTATTCAAAACACATTTTGCTTAAAAAAAAAAAAAAATTGTACATCTATGGAAAATTGCCAAGTAAGTTTGAATTGTTGCATTATGTAAAAAACACTTTCTTTTTTATTTATTTTTTTATTTAGTATCAGCCTTTTATTTATTCTTTATACCTAAAAATTGTGTCTGAATTGCCAGCAGCCTCCTGGGAACATAAATAGCAATAAAACTATTTTGCTGTGAATCATGGCCAAATAAAAAACATTTTAATATCCATTATAAGCCAGACCCATTTTTCTTTAGTCTTGTTTTGCAAAACAGCAGTTTGTTTGCAGAAATTGCTGTCTGTAACTGAGGAAAAACTTTTGAACCAAAAAAGTAAATATGTGTTAAATAGAAGCTGCTTTCTATTGGGAGGAATTATGTGAAAGGTTTTCTGTGAAAGGCCAATTATCTGCTACGGTCCAGTAAAGTATGATTAGTAGAGAAATCTACAAGTGTAGTGCAACAATGTCTTGTTAATTTTCCAGGAAAGTGTGGGTGTGATTTAAATCAGATGTCCTAACAGGAGTTGTGTTCAAACACCTGTCTGTATTTGTTATTCTGTTAGAGTCAACTTTAGCTGAAAAACAGTCTTCATGAGGGTGTACATGTGAAAAAAATGAGGTTTGTAACAAACGCTTTGAATTTAATTATGCTCCGACTTTAACGTCGGTTCAAAATTAGTGACTGAAAATCCAAGATGACTTAATGATAATAGCAGTGGCAGCTGGTGGAATTTTCTCTGGGCGGGGGGCTAAACCTCCTAAACGGATATATATACCAAAACATATAAGCAAGTTCAAGTTGTGTTTATTTGTCAAGGTTAACATAAGGTCAACAGTAGAATAAATGCTCAGGATGAGAAGAAATGATTTGACTCGCTCAAACAACAAAGGACAAACAAACAAGAAATACTAAAGTATGCAATAAGGGTATAAAAATCAATAATAAAATAAAGTACCAAAAAGTGAAAAAGTAATTATAATATTTACAAGGTCATAAAGAGAGATAGTAAACAAGAACATAGTAGAATATAACAGTGCAGCAGGATGAATTTGAATGAATAAATATTTCAAGGTATAATGTAAGCAAAAAAGCACATTATACATACATCCATACATCCATACGTCCATACATCCATACATCCATATATATATATATATATATATATATATATATATATATATATATATACACACATACAGTATATAAATTTTCATTCATTAAACCTTCATTTATACAGGTTAATCCCACTGCACCGCAGGGATTCATTTACAAGAGAGACCTGATTTTAACAAAGAGTGATGACAACAATGGACAATCATAAAAGAAAGCATACAAATTGAGAAGACCAAATGAAAGAAAATGGTATTAAAAGTTGTAAAAAAAAAAACATATAGGTTGTAAGGCGGTGTAGAAAACTAAAACCAGGAACATGTCTGCATTGGTTTTTCCCAGGAACTTAGCAGATGTTTGAAGCCACTTAGAGAGGTCAAAATCGAGAGTTTCATATATTTTTGCAAGATATTCCAGGAAACAGGAGCAGAGTAGGAGAAGGCCCTTTTGCCAAGTTCAGCCCGCACTGAGGGAACACTGCATGTAATAATGTCCCGAGACCGCACGCTGTAGCTGCACTCATGCAGTGACATGTAAGAGATGTATGAAGGCAACAGACCAAGAAGTGCTTTAAAGATGAAAATGTACCAGTGAGAGAGTCTTTATGAAGTTAATGATGTCCAGTTAACCAGTGAATGCAGTGCAGTGGTGGGTACGATAATCACAGCCAGTTATGAATCTTAGTGCACCATGATAAACAGCATCCAACATCTGCAGGGTGCTTGTAGGGGTGTTCATGTAAATAATGTCACCGTAATCAATGGA